TATTATGGAAAAAAATTTGTTTTTAAATTTTTTTATCGCATGTTGTAGCCCGCATGAAATAGATGGATAATCACTTTATAACCTTTTTGTTAATTGTCGGAAATGTCTAAAAAAATCGTGCGGACCGTTACGCTGAACATCCTGTATAATTTACAGTATAATAGAGTATTTTATAGGCGTTGGCAGGGAGAGCACAGAGGGTCATGATCCTTCCCTAAATTTTTTTAAAGAACAAAAATAATTACAAATTTTAAATAAGAAAAACCCTATATTCGGTCGAAGCCTGATCTTAGTTTAAATACATATTTTTTACGTGAATTTATATTTATTCTAATTTTGTGTATCGCGCGCCAAAATGTTTTCTCCAACTTGAAACACATTCATAAGCAGAATTAGAATTATACATAATATTACTTATTAAAATTGTACAAGCAATTTAATAATTTTTTGATGCTAATAAACATGCATCTTTTAAAGGGATTCTAAAGACGATTATTGTAAATAACACTCTCACACAGACGATTTACGTGTCATTGACACATTCCTACATCAATATCTCACTCACGCATGCTACACGTACACACACGCTCGGCAACTATAGTATGAAATCGTGGACCATTCTACACCCAAAATTTAGTTTAGCTTAGTGGAAATCCACACCAAAGCAATCCAAGAATTGAATTAAAAATCAACTGTGAACTTTTTAAAATGTGTGCGATTGCCGACTGATATTTGTGACGGCAGTACAACTGCGCGCATAGCAGAGATTCAACTTTTAGAGATCATTTATATTGGCCGTAATCATGTGCCGTATGCCATTATCTGTAAGAATTAACTAATCACAATCGAGCATTCCTCTTTTACAATTGAATGAGAGGAGTATACTCGAATGTGATTAATTAATTCTTACAAATTACGGCATATGGTTACGGCTAATAAATGATTCCTTACCGACTGTTAGACAGAGCGTCGCAATTCGCAATTGTCAAAAAGCGGTTAATAACAAAGAGTACAAAATAAATAAAAAAAAGATCATTTTGTACTCTCTCCTCCTTTCCCGTTTCCTTTCGTCAGTTAAAAAAATTCCATACCCACGGGTGAAGTAAATTAATGGCTCTGTGTACATATATAAAAAGCTGTGCAATCTGTACTTACAAAATAGTAGTCCACAGATTAATAGTTTTGTACAAAGGAACAACGTGGAGTTCTTAAAATTGAACTTAGACGTCTAATTAAAACGTTGCACAGTGGGCCAGACGACTCGAAATCTTGGCCAAAATTCAAAATGTTGATGGATTGGCATAAAACTCAGTACTTAAGGGTTTTTGGGGTCACTGATTTCGAATCCGAACTCAAAATTTAGAAATTTAAAATGGCGGATCCAACATGGCGAACAAGAATGCTAAAAATGCTTCAATTGCTGTTAAATTTGATATTCAGGTGTTTTTGGAGTCGCTGATTTCGAATCCGAACTCAGAATGTAGAAATTCAAAATGGTGGATCCAAAATGACGGCCGATTTTCTATAATAATCGTTTAATTTTTATGAAATTAAATATATAACGGTTTTTTGGATCGCTAATTTCGAATCTGATGTCAGAATTTTATAATTCAAAATGGCGGATTCAAAATGGCGACCCGAAAATGAAAAAAACCAGTAAATTTTTAATGAAAACTTTTTTTCAGGGTCGTTGATTACGAGTTAGACATTACAATTTTTAAAATTACAGATGACGGATCCAATATGGCTAACTTCAAAGTAAACATTTAACAAAATTTGGAGAAAAAAGTTCGATCTTGTAAATTTAAATCACTACTGCTCTTTGTCGTACCCAGAGTCACGAATCGAGGACATAGCGGATATTGACTCCATTTTACTGTTTTTTTATTTTTACTTTTTTGTATTTTATTTTTTAATTTTTTTTTGTATTTTATCATTTTTATGTTTTTAACATTTTTTTAAACTGGTTAATCAGTATTCAAGCGTAATTACAAATTTCCTTCATCACACTCTTTGTTAGCCATCTCCGTATCATGCAAACTTTCGTAAAAATTTGTAAGGTCGCTTGAGTCATCTTCTTTCTCGGTTTCATTTCATTCAGAAAGAAAATTCATTGACTGGTCGAACTCAAGAATGTCAAGCAAGTGAATTACTTCTTTGGGGATAGCTTTGTGCTGCCTTTTCTGAATTCTCGAATTAGAGTAAAGTGTAGATATAATGGGGTCAGAAGTATCCATAGTTCTGTTAAATACATCTTCTATTGTTGCGAGACGAGAACATTTTTTCTTTTTTTCAATCAAACGAGACCGAGAAAGAAGATGACTCAAGCGGCCTTACAAATTTTTATGAAAGTTTGCATGATATGGTCATTTGACTAATGAAGAGCAGTATGATGAAGATTTGTAATTATGTTTAAATAATAATTAATTAATCAATTTTCAAAAATGTTTAACTACATTCAAATTTTAAAATAAAAAAATTAAAAAATCGATATATACTGAATTTCATAAAAATTAGACAATTATTATAGAAAATTGTTCGCTATTTTGGATCCGCCATTTTGAATTGTGCAATTCTGACATCAGATTCCAAATCAGCGATCCGAAGAACCGTACATGACCATAATTTTTCATAATTTTATCAAAATTCTGAAGTAAATGGATTTTTGGTCACTTATTTGAGTCTCTTGGCCTACTGTGTAGTTAGTAGTGGAAAGATAAATACATATCTTTAGTAACGAGCAAAAGTGGCAAAAAGTGGCAACTTGTTCGTCAACCATATTCATACGAACAAAACATGATCAAAAAAAATCAATTCCGAGGCCGCACAGATCGGCACAATGGATTTATGTTAAGTCATAATCTATTTAAATCAGAAATATTCACGTAAACAGCTCTGCCACAGAAAGTAGTGCTAATATTTAGAGTAAATAAATGTATAGCATTATTATTTGTCCATTTTTTAAACAAATACGATTTTTAAACATTTAATTTATAAGGTTTATATTCATAGTTTTAATGTTTTTTATTTTAAAGATAGGTCTGAAATTATCACCTGTAGTTTGTAATCAAGCGACTATTCCTCGAAACCTGTTACCAAAACCTTGTTATACAGTTCATTTATATGTTTTCTGAAATATTCTTATGACACATAAAATATTGTTTACAGTAAATTTTAAACTCGACTTTTGGACAGTTTTCGGATTTTCTGGCCCACTATGCGTTGTTATAAAAATTTATGTGTATGTGTGGCATACGTGAGTGAGATATTGATGTAGTGGTATGCAGTGATATGTCAATGACACGTAAATCGTCTGTGAACAAATGCTATTTACAATATGACTAATCGTCTTTAGGATCCTCTTAAGGGGATGCTGGAATGACGGCTGAATTTGATTGATGTCGATAGTACAGATTTTTTCGATTTCAAATAAAAAAATGTCGATAATAGTAATATCTCTAATTTGTTTCGGGAGCGTCCCACGTTTCATTTGACAATCATCCTAATTGACCACGTTGCAAATGACCACGTTGCAATTGGTCATGTTGCAAATGGCCACGTTGCAATTGACCACGTGTTGCAAATGACGACGTTGCATTTGACTACGCGATGCAAATGACCACGTTGCAAATGACAATGTGATACAAATGGGTACACAATAACCTAATATGGTTAGGTTAGGGTTAGGTGCGGTCGGGGTGCTCAGGGGGGAGCGGTTTCTCTTCATCACGACGGGCCTAATTCCCGTTTGGCGTTTTTATTGGTTGGACCGCTTGTTTAGGTTGGTTGAATCTTTTTGCTGCCTTCCACAGAGAATAGTCGGACTTTATATTAGGTGACAGTTCTTGTAGATATTGCTGCAGGGTTTCATTTTTGAATTGTTTAATTTGAGATAACTGCTTAGAATATTTATTAAAATTTTTCTTACAAAGAAGACTACGTGTGTTCTGCCACAGTTTACGTAATTTCCTTCGTTCAACAATGTTTTCTCTGATTAAGAGGAGGCATTGATTGAAAGATGGCTCATGATATGATTTAGATGGAGTAGAGAACCAGACCGCATTTTGGATTGTTGTATTAAAGTGTTCGACTGTCATTTCGATGTGGGGCAATCTTGAGCGGTAGGTTAAGTTTAATCGTAACTTCAATGGTTTTACGAAACTTTACTCAATCGGTATGTTTATTAGATAAAGTATCCGGGGGATTTCAGTATAACTATACTGCTTAGTGTAAGTATAATGGATGAATGATCTAAAGAAAGGTCTGCCAATGATTCTATATGCAAGTAGTTGTGAGCAATACCTTTAGTGATAAAAAAGTTCAGAAGATCTGGCGTCTTGTTTAGGTTAGAGGTTCAATATGTCGGTTGTCCAGTTGAGATACTTTGAAGATTCTCACTAGTCAAGGTGGCGTATAATTGCCGGCCTTTAGGGGATACGAGGCGTGAGCCAGGATAGCGATCATGTAATTTCACGCGGAAAGTTTCACTTTTCACAATTCCGCTCATTCAGATTCCGCGTGAACTTTTCCGAGCGATCATGTATGAAGGATTTGTGAAAAGTGAAATCACTAAACATGGCACCACATCCATAAAGAAATTACTAGTATTATACTAGTACCTTCCCAGACAGCACAGAATATTTATGAATATTTATGATAAATATTTATTAATATTTATTTTTTTGAAAT